CTCTCTCCCGTCTGCCCTCAATGCTTTAAGACTGACCTCCAGGAACTCTGGCATTAGACCTCCTTCGCTAAGCTCCCCGCACACATACACACAGATGCACCCACACAGACCCCCATTGGGTACTGATCCCATCCGCAAAGCCCCAAGGCGCTCTTGGCTGAACTTTTGCAGTGTTCTTTTCCCGAATCTGTAGTCAGAGGCAAGGATGAGGCAGTGATTTTTGTTTTAATACTATAAAAGGAGCAAGAAAAACTCCACAAAACACCAGCAGCTGGGAGGTCAAATGAAGAGAGAAGCAGTGGTTCTGGGGTCTTTGGTAGACCCCCCCCCTCCCAAGGAGGATCTGGTGGGTTAAGGTTCCCTACAAGCGTAGTAGGGTCTTGTGTGTTATGCAGGACTTGGAGTCAAAACTCAGGGAAAGGAAGGACTCTGGTTTTCAACAATGGCCATGCAGCCCAAGCAAACTCCAGGATTGGGGAGAGGATGGAGAATATACTGGACTTTACAGTTACCACTTTAGGACAATCTGCAGCCACATATAGGAAGTTCTCCTCCTGCAGTACGGTGCCAACACGCCCTGAAGATGCCCCTTCTGATGAACCTCAAGCAGGAAGCGCTCCATTTCTCAATCCCTTCCTTAGGATGAGTTAGAGACAAAATGCTTACTGCGATCAAGGGCAGCAAACAAGCAAGCCAGAATCCGGGAAACGCCAATTCTTTATTTCCTGAAATTCCAGCTGGTGCCCCTTATTTGCAAAAGCCGAACTCAGTGGAGGGGGGGGGGATTCTCCTGTCATGATCCCACATAGAAGCTCTTACAGAAGAGCTGCTCTGCCCAACTACCCATCCCCTCCTTTAGAATCTCCGGCCTTTCCTAAATTATGGATGCTCCAGTTTGGGATCGGGATCATTTCTGGAAGCAGCGGGCACCTATACCCACTTGCACCAGGGGGAAATAATCTTCCTGGATGCATGCGTTTCAGAGAACAGTTGCCACTGGAAGAAGAATGCAGTCACATGGTACTGTGCTTTTCCCTCCCACCATGCATGCGCCTGTTAACTTGGAACTGTGGGAAACAGTGGAGTTCTTGATCAAGCCCTTCAATAGTTTATAAGAGAACAAAACAAAACTCAGTGCTGAAAATAGGGGGTGGGGGGAGCATAACCTTTAGAACGAAACTGGTGTGAGGGGGTCCAGCTTAAACCCCAGTGAGTTGGTGAACATACTGAAAGGGCAGAGAAATCAGGATACTTTTGGGAGGTATCAATCCGAATTTCACACACACACACAC